GGGCATGGATGTTAGCCCACGGCCAGTCTTCCTCAGCAAAAAGAGGAGGATTGGCAGATGTTAGCTCAGGGCCGATCTTCCTCACACAAAAAAAACAAATAAATAAAGTAAATTGCTAAAGCTTTAGATGAATTAATTCTTTATTAGAAACTTCCAGTGAGGTATTGTATATAATTTATGTATACATTTTGGTGCAATTTCTGGGAAGCATTTTAGAATCTCTCTGCTTATGGATGTGCATACAAAGAAAACCATTTGTTCTGGAGCAAATATGAGAAATTAACTTTTATATTGTTAACCAACTGGTTTTAAAATTATTTCATAGAAATTCTCCTGAATAAAGGCTCTTTTGAGTGAATTAAACAAATATTAGAAACTAAATCTGAAAGTACCTCCTAGGTAAGCTAAGGCAAGATTTCATTTTTAAAAAGATTTAAATAGATAAATGATTCAATTTAAGTCATAACGGACAGAAATTTAAGTACAGAGCCGTACTCACCATGGGCAATGATGATCCATCTTCAAAATACATCTAAAAAAATAAACAAAAACAAAACACACACCAAAACTTTACACCCCCATAAGATCTTAATCCCATTAAATTATAAAAAGGAAATATAAAACAGTTATTTCAAAAGAGTTGTGGCAAGTAAAATGTTGCAAAATTATTTTCTTATCTAAAAACTGAATAATAGCAAAAGTCCTCATCTAAAATAAACACTATAGCCAATTCTAGTTATGATATGATAATACAACATTAAATTTGAAATATACATGCTTTAAGATGCAAATCAAATAACTTATTTTCTAAAAACAATGCAAAGTGATTGTGCCAAATATATTTCCTAAATAAAGGTTGGAGAAGCATGAATAAAGAGAAAAGGAAATAACTTGGAAAAACAGTGAGAAAAGAAACATGTTAAATAAAAAGCCGACCAGCATGTAGACATTTTAGAAGTAGAACGTTTTCTTACTTATCACAGACGGAACAGTGATGGCAGCGATCTGGCTTTATAAGTTGGCATCTGTCACAATATCGGATTGCTAGGAACAAAAATCTCCACTTAGCCTTAAATTTAACAGTGAACCAAATATACAATTAATGGCTTTGATCATCTATCCCAATTTAAATTTTAAAAAGCATACTGAATTTAAATTTGGTTCAAATGAGATATTCGACTCCGTAAATACAAAAATGGAATGAGTCACCTACAGCCTCAGTTCTCTGGAGAGTTTTCCCAAGAACAGAGAATCTTCTGGGGAAGTTGTTCTAAAGCATTCTCAATTGCCAGTAGTTATAATAAGGCTGACAAAGGGCACAAATGTGTTCATTTCCAGCAAAATAAACAGAATGTCTCCCTCAATTAAATCAATCTATTTCCTTCACCCTGCCAGGAAACCAGGTAAGGATACAACCACATTTTAGAAATTTTATGGGAAACATAGTTTATAAATTTGGGAATAAACTCCATTAGTTGCTTAAATTGGGAAAGAGCTCACATCTTCTCTGTTGGGTGAGATACAAGACTAGAAGAGAGGACTGGTACAAGTACTTCCAATAGAGAATTTTAATTCTTGTAACTGAAGTCTGGACCCTCTCTTCTCTAATACAGATATCAAAGACAATCACGGATGCCTGATCTGGAGATGCTATTTCAGTACACAGCATCTTACAGGATGCAGGCAGGCTACCAAAATCATAGGAAAGGAGTTATTAAGGGGGCAGTCCAGTAGGATCAGTAAAACCAAAGTAATGAATTTAAACTGTGGAAAAAATACTTGCAACTAATAATAACCAATGTTAGATTAGCTAACATTATAAATTCTGAAGAAGGAAACAGTTGCTATAAACTAAGAACAAAATGAGATTTTTTTAGACAACAAGGCCTATGTGGAGTTGTTTTCAATACTGAAATAAGTTCTTAACATCCCCTTCCCACTTTCTTTCTTGGGGATTGCAGAGATGAATGGCATGGCTGCTCATCTCCTGAGGGAACAAGTCTCACAAGGACATTCAAGAGAAGCTATAAGGTATCACTGGACCACGCAAAGTATTAAAGTGTAAGGCAGTTTGTCCAGAAGAAACATAATGTGAGCCCCGCGTGTACTTTCTCTAGGAGCCACATTAAAAGAAGTAAAAAGAAATAGGGGAAATTAATTTTAATAACATATTTTACTTTACCTAATACATCCAAAGTATTATTTCAACATGTAATCAATACAAAAATATTAATGACATATTTTACATTTTTTTCAAACCATGTCTTTGAAACCTGTTATGATTCTACACTTACAGTCATATTTTGAGTGCTCAGTAGCCACAAGGGACTAATAGCTACCATAAAGGCAGCACACGTCTCAAGTCACAAAATTTCCAGGTGAATTTTGGTAGACAAGGCTAGGTTCTTTCCAGATGGTGATTATCAAATCAGAGTGGGCAAGAACTCACAGGAAATCAAAACAACACAGAAATAAGTTTTTTGTTTTTAGTCTTTCATAAACAGAAATTTAGTCTTTTAATAATAAACACTCTGGGTGCCATATTATGTTCAACTAAAATCATCCCACTGTAATTTAAAACGAACATCTGATTATCATTTAAAAACTCCTAACAGTCAAGGGGGGAATTTTATTTTAACTATCTTGCTTGAATGTTTTCAGAATTTATTCCTATATTACTTATGTAATTTAAAACCTTTATGGCAAATGTTGAAAAGAAACATTATCAACATCTGTGTGCAAAACAATAAACTAATTACATCACCTCTAATTGTTACCTTCCTAGTCAAAATCTACAAAAAATGTTGTAGGAAAGGATCGAGGGCAAGAGAGAACTAAAAAATAAATAGTCCTAATTAATAAAAATAAAAATAAGTAATAACATAACGAAGTTGGGAGAGCCCTGTAAGAAAGCAGAAGATGGGTGGATCAGAAGATAGCACAGGAGAAAGAGACGCGAGAGGAGCAGTCTTCTTAATACCCTGCCTTCCCACACCCCACACCCAAGTCTGTATATGGTTGAATTTGTTCTCTGACAGCAGTCAGGTTAACCCAGGCAGCTGGCATTTTTCTCTTTCAGGTTTGGAGAAATTACTGGATTTAGAATGGATGGTAAAATCCTAATTTATATTAGCACTTTCTTCAATTGTCTATAGCATAAAGTGTGTGAACATTAACTGAACCTTTTAGTTGCTTTAGTCCACAGACTTGCCTGGCATGAAGAAGGAAATTATCCATAGAACACAGACTCTTAGAAGGGTGTGGTTGTGGGGTGGTAAGAAGGACTCTTCTCCCATTCCTGCCTTGGTGCTACTGTAGCTGCTCGACTGAACATCCTTCTGCACCATGCTCATCTTTACATGCTCCATATTCCAGAAGGGGATCAATTACACCAGCATTATAATCTATTTACTATACTTCGTGTAATTTAATTTAGTCAATGCCTCTAGTCAGTTATAATATTGATTTTAGCAGGCATCCAGAATTTTTGCCCTGAAAATATAAATAAAGATTATATTAGAAAATCCAGATTCTATTCCAAACTGTCACAAATATTGGGAATCATAAGTTCATCTCAGGAAAAAGGCATACGATACCTGAGAGGAATAAGAGATGACAGCCTTGACGTTATATAAACTACACAAGGAGACGACTTATAAATCCAAAGTGTAGTGGTTATTGTTAATAAAATGAATACTTTGTTCCGGTACGACCTATGCGTCCCCCCTTTCTCTTAATTCGGTATATCAAGGGGTATAGTAGACAAACACTGCACTAGGAAAGAGAAGACCAGATTTTTACACTTTGTACTGTCAACTAACTAGCTTTGGAAACTCAGGCAGTAATTTATTTTTAGGGGGCTTAAATTTCCTCAGTGTTCATTTAGGTTTATGTAGGGTAAATATACATAAACATACATCAGCACATCTCTGTCTTTGTGGGATAGAACCAGTGGCATAATATTAAGGCAGAAATTGCTACTTGCTCATTAAGAAACAGTGAAAACAAAACAGGAAAATATGGTATGTGAGATTTACAGTTAGATTCAATTATGATTCTAAATGAGTTAGAAACAAATATAAGTAATATAAAAATATCAATGAGATATTGCATATTCTTTTTTTTCATACTAAGTCTTTGAAACCAGTTGTGTATTTCACACTTAAAGCACATTTCAGTTTGGACTAGCCACGTTTTCAGTGCTCGACAGCCACATGGGGTTAGTGGCCACCAAAACAGGCAGCCAGGTCTAAAGTCACAAAATTTCTGGGTGAGTCTTGGTGGGCAAGTAATCAATAGTCCACGTGTGTCAGTTTTGAGATAATTCTTTAATTACATAGCTGTTAAATTACTTTAAAAATCTGACCCGAATAAAATAGTTTTATTAATTTAGTTACATTTGTAGCAAAAATTACCGTAAATTTCAAAGATAAAGAAATTGTACCAATACCTAAATTAAGTTTTATATAATTTATATAATTTCTGTTTTAAACTTATGTAAAATTATCAATGTTATGTTCATTATAGATTTTGCTCCATTAAATTAAATTAAATAAGAATAGGAAGGTCTATAATTATTTATTTTTATTTTTATTTTTTTTTTTTGAGGAAGATCAGCCCTGAGCTAACATCCATGCTAATCCTCCTCTTTTTGCTGAGGAAGACTGGCTCTGAGCTAACATCTATTGCCAATCTTCCTCCTTTTTTTCCCCCAAAGCCCCAGTAGATAGTTGTATGTCATAGTTGCACGTCCTTCTAGTTGCTGTATGTGGGACGCGGCCTCAGCATGGCCGGAGAAGCCGTGCGTCGGTGTGCACCCGGATCCGAACCTGGGCCGCCAGTAGCGGAGCGCGCGCACTTAACCGCTAAGCCATGGCGCTGGCCCGGAAGGTCTATAATTAAAACTTTAAAAATGAATACAACTACAAATCAAGATTTCAGCAATTTTAACATCTTCATTGAGTCACAACTAAGTAGGCAGAACAGAAGTAAACTCTGGTCTGATTTGGTTGAGATCTCTGTGCCACAGTGCTATTCAGGTTTCCATTCTGTTTTATGGAATTATACAGCAAAGATTTAATAGTAATCCAAGAGATAACACACTGTGTTTCAACGACTATTTGTCAGTTTCAGGTATATGAATATGCTTTCTAACAGTCACCACAATCTATCATGCCAAAGCACTCAGTATGGACATCTACCTCCAGACATGGTCCTGGTATAGATGGGAAGATCTTTGGCTGCTCGCCTAAGAACTTCCTGATGGGCTTCTCCTCTTGGCTCTCTCTCCAACAATTCTTTCTCTGCATAAGAGAGATGGAACTGTGGAATAAATTTAAATTTCAATCAGTATTTTCAAAGAAATAATAACATATTGGTCTCTGATACTTATAAAAAGGTGTTTATAAAATATTAATGGTATATAGTGTATATATTCAGAGAGGTAATAGAGTTTGAAATCTGGGCAAGTCTGTTAACCTCATGGATCATTTTTATGCATGTGAAAGAGGGAATAATTATAATAATACCTACTTCCTCAGATGTTTGTGAAACTCAAAAGAAACAGAGTATGTAAAAGTGCTTTATAAACTGTAGGTTCTATCCAAATATTAGCTGCATCAGGTCCAAAAAACCAAATACAGGTTGGTGGAATTATTACTTGATAATATGAATGTCAAAAAATCTACTTCTATCTTGGAATGAACTAAATATACAATTTCCTCCCTCAGAACACTTTTATGTACAAAGGCAGGTCACAGATTTTGAGACAGATGACATCTGTAGGATCTGAAGGGTTAGAAAATCACACAGGGGGAAAAGACAACATACCTGACCTGCCACCAACTTCAAGATTGTGGCAGTCCTTGACCAGTTGATACATGCTGCCTTGTTTTTGTTTAAATAGTTTTATTATTTTTAGAACACTTTAGATTTATAGAGAACATGAGAAAATTAGTACCTTCCCATATACCCTCTCACCAAGCTCCTCATATTATTAACATCATATATTCGTATGGCACATTTAGTACAAGTAATAATAATTAACTAAAGTCCACAGTTTATTCAGATTTCCTTAGTTTTTGCTGAATATCTTTTTCTGTTCCAGGATCCCATCCAGGATCCCACAGTACATTTATTTGTCATATCTCCTTAAGTTCCTCTTGGCTGTGACAGTTTCTCAGATTTTCCTTATTTTTGTTGACCTTGATAGTTTTGAGTAGTGCTGCTCAGGTATTTTGTAGGATGCTTCTCTATTGGAATTTGTCTGATGCTTTTCTCATGATTAAACTGGGCTCATGGGTTTTGAGGAGGAAGACCACAGAGCTAAAATGCCATTCTCATCACGTCATATCAAGGGAAGATACTATCAACATGGCTTATCATTGTTGATGTTGACCTCGATCACCTGGGTGAGCCAGTGTTTGTCAGGTTTCTCCACTGCGAAATTACTCATTATTTCTCCATTTCCATCCTGTACTCTTTGGAAGGAATTCGCCATATGCAGCCTGCATTTAAGAAGCCCGCATTTATTCTTGCCCTCTTTGAAGGCAGAGTATTTACATAAATTATTTTTCCCTATAAGAGATTTTTCCCTTCTCCCCATTTATTTATTCATTTAGTCATTTATTTACATCAGTAGACTTATATTTATTTTATACTTTGGGTTATAATCTAACATTATTTTATTTATTTTGTTGCTCAGATTTTTCCAGCTTTGGTCACCGGGAGTCCTCAGTTGGCTCCTGTGTCCTTTGACATGTCATCATCAATGTATTTTATTTATTTGGGGGGAAGAAGCACTTCCTTATTTCTGGCACTGTACGATGCTCCAGGCTCATCTTGAATATTTGCTGCCCTAGTTCTAGAATCAGCCATTTCTCCAAAGATCCCTCCCTCCTTAAACTGGACAATGGTATTAGAAGCCAAGATATGGGCTCAAATAGAGTTTTCAGACTAAAGGAGAGTATAATATTAAAAGGATATACATAGTAAGAAAAAAACTAAAATCTAATAACAAATAAACAGAAAACTCACAGAACTGTATTTCCTTTTTTGCTAGTTGTTTTTCACTTAGGACAAAAAGAAACATATAACCTCACCAGTATCTAAAATGTACAAATTCAAACACAGAACTTTTCTGCTTATTAAAGTGGCAACAGTTTTCTTAATAACAGCATGCAATGCCAAGGGTTGGATAAAACCGGTGGCATTGTAAATTGCTACAATCCTTTTGGGAAACAATTTGGCAAGTGACTTAAATTTCCTTGATCTAGTAATTCTACCTCTGAGAATTTATATTAAGGAAATAATCCAAAACATGGGTAAAGTTCTATGTACAAACATGTTAAAAACATCATTTATAATAGTAAAAGTTGGGATAAGCCTAAAAATCCAAGTTGGGATGTGACTAAGTAAATTTTTACATGTTTCAGTAAGAATATTATGCCATTATTAAAAATGACAATACACCAATGATGGACTACTACATGAAAAAAAGTTGGAATTTGTGTACTCTGAATATAATTAGGAAAAATAACTAGAAAGAAATTCGGAATGTAAACTGGCTGAATTGGTGTGGTGGGAGGTTTTTTTCTTTTTCTTTTTGCCTAGTCTCCATTTTCAAAATATAATTTAGTATGGTTATATTACTTTTATCTTGGGAGAAAAACTTACAAATTGAAAAACTGTAATCAATTTAACAATCTTGCTATGAAAAAGGTAAATTTTAATTCACATGTTCCAGATTTCTTATAGTCTCTCAATAGTGACAGGAAAATATTTTCTTATATTACCTCCTCTCCTACTTTTTTAGTCCCATTTTTCAAAGATTTTTAGCACCTGAGAGCACATTATTGTCAGTTTAAGTCCAGGACCCTTACTCTATAGGTAAGGGTCTCCAGCTGCTGATTAATTAGAAGATTAGCCCAAGATCTTGCATTTTAACAGAATAACCTAAAATTCTTAATCAGCAATCAAGGGCTCTTTCTTTCACAATAATGGTCTCCAAACTCTTTTGATCATGTACCCCCAGCAGTAAAAAATAATTTGAGGTGGCACTGCCAATATATGCATATTTATTTGTTTATAAATGTACTGTTAGCTAATATATTATGGACCTTATATATGAAACTTTAAAAAAGAGAAATGTTAAAAGAATAACACATAAATAGAAGTTTCGCTATTTTTTCTCCATGCTCCAATTGATGTCCTGGGCACATCCACCAATGTGGTGTCCCCTCTCTGTACCAGAGTGCGGTGTAGCGACAAGAGTGTAGCCTTGATGGTCCAAACAACTTTGGTTTGAATGTTAGCTCTGCCAGACACTAGCACTAGTGCCTTAGGATAATTAGCTCCTGTTCAGAGCCTACTCCATTCATAAAATGGTAATAAATAATATCTATCCCACACAGTTGTAGGAATTGAATAAGGTACACGTCTTTTGCAGAAAAATCATCCAACAAAGCCTCGTACAGCTGTCAATTCACTGTTATGAATCTCAACTGCTCCCTCAATACTGTGTTATTTCTTCTGTGTTTTGTATCATTTCATTTTTCCACTCTCTCCAACCACTATTTCGACACTTCGCTGCTCTCCCAAACCTCTGTCAACCCACGACCCTCATCATTGTTAGCCAATGATCTCATACATAATTTTAGGGAGAAATTAGAAGTCACTTCAACTTCCTGCCAAAGCTACAAACACAAACCTGCATCTGTACACGTAACTTCTTTCCTATATTCAATCATTCAACAAATATGTACCAAGTACCTTCTATGGGCCTAATGGGGATGGATTAGTGAGCAGAACAGATAAAGTTCATGCCATTGTAGAGCTTATATTCTAGGGGTGGTATAAAAAATGAACACAGAATGAATTATAGAATGATATGCTGTGGAGAAAAATCCAGCAAAGCAAGGTTTAGAGGGAATGTCAGGGAGAGGGTTTTGCTGTATCATACAGAGTCGTCACGGAAAGCCTCCAAGATCAGGCACCACTTGAGCAGAAACATAGAGATAGGAAGAAAGGGAGGGGCCTGGCCATGCAGCTGTCTGTGCAAAGAGCATTCTAGGTCAAGGGGAAGTAGCAGGTTTCAAGGCCCTGAAGGAGGAACAAGCCTAGCATGTTGACAGAACAGCAAGGAAACCAATGTGATTAAAGCAACATTCAAGAGGGTCAGAGAGGCGGTGTGGGGCCAGGCCACATGCAGTGTTTTAGGCTGTAGCAGAGAATTAGGTTTTTACTCTGAGTGAGCAAAGATATCACAGGAAAGTGCTGAGCAGAAGAATATGATCTGTTTTGTGTTTTGAAAGGCTCACCCTGGATACTGTGTTGAAAATATACAGAAGAGGGCAAGTCCAAAAACAAGGAAGCTTGTCAAAAGGTACTGGAAATATACAAGGGAGAGATGAGGGTGGCTTGGACGAGGGTAGAAGCAGTGGAGGGGCATGAGCTCACACTGTGGGTACCCTAAGTATATGGCTTACACAATATGCTGATTGATTGGATATGGGATCTTAGAGAAAAAGAGTAGCCAACATGACTCCAAGGTTTTTGACCTGAACAACTGGAATAATGGAGTTGCCATTATTGAGACAAGAAAACTTTAGGAATAGGAGGATTCAGGGAGCTGGTGGGAAATCAGAAGTTTGTTTTCAGGTATGTTAAATTTGAAATTCCTACTAGACGCCAGATAGGTAACTGGAAATGAGTTTGGAGTTTGGGAGAGAGGCCCAGGCTAACAATATTAATTTGAGAGCTGTAGCACTGAGATGATATATACAGTCATAACGTAGATAAATAAGAGAAGAGATCCAGCGATTGAGCTGGGACAATCCAATAGTTTAGAGGCTCAGGAGATAACCAGGAACCAGCAAAGAAGATCAAGAAGAAGCTGCCACTATGAATAAAAATAGAATTATTTGGACGAGAAAGGAGAAAAGAATATTCTAGAAAGAGAATAACGGCATGGTGTACACAGCAAACTACATGTAACTAAGAACTACTAGAGTATAAAGTGGGACGTCAGAAATTTAGATGAGTCATTGTTGCCAAACTAGGGAGACTGGACTTTACCCTGTGGGATATGTGGAGTCACTGAACGATACAAGCAGTAGAGTCAAAGGGTTAAATTTGTTTTTAGATGAATCACTCTAGCTTCAGGGTGAAGGATGAATTTTTGCAGAGTTCTGGGAAGGGAATGTAGGCAAGATCACAAACAGCAACACCATGTAGGAGAAGAATGCAATGTCTCAGACAAAAGAGATGACTGAGACTCTTAATTAGGGCGATGATGAAAAAAAAAATTAGAGAGTGAAAACATCAGCAGGATTTGGATGTTGGGGGAGGGGCGAGGAAGTGGGAGGATTCAAGCATGGCTGCCAAGCTTCTGCTGGAATGACGCGGTAGATGGCAGTGGCATTAACTGGTGTAAGAAACAGATGAGTCACAGTTTGGGGAAGGAGAGGGTGATGACTTCAGTTTTTGACGTGTTGCGTTTGAGGTGTCAGCGGGATGACCAAGGAGCTATGTTTGGTAGGGAGAGACATAAGTTGGAAATTCTCAGGAGAGGTCAGAGCTAGAAATAGATTTGGGAATTGTGAACACAGAGGTCATAGTAAACCTCCAGAGTGGATGAAATCACCTACGATAGAAGTCAGCATTTTCCTTCAAACCTACAACTAAGGCCAGCATGGGGGTAAGAGAGATGAGAGAGAAGTGAATATGGTAGGAGGGAGGAAAAGGAGGTAGGAAAAGAAAAATCAGTAGATATAGAAGAAAACAAGGCTATATCTCACTCATTTTAGGCCAAGCATACCATTAATTGTGTGCAAGTATCTGTGGTTTTGTTTTTAATATCCTTTCCCAGGCCATATAGCATATTTACTGGCCTTTTTGACCACAGCTGCATTTCAAACATTCCTGCATTACTTCAGGAAACAATTTACAGTGATGCCTAGACCTTTTTTTTTTTTTTAACTTGGCCCACTAAAACAACACTATTCTTACTGGAGCAAAGTTTATTTCTATTCAACAAACATGTACTGGACTAAGTACTGAGGATATAAAAATGAGGAAGACATAGCCCTTTGCTCTAAGAACACGTAACCAGGATGAGAGACCCAGAAACAAATAGCCAGAATGATCGTTTCGAAATGCAAATTTTGATCATGTCACTCTACTTAACACTTTCTGTAGCTGAGACTGCTAGTTGTTGCCCAATATCCACTCTTTTCTTCTTCTAACATGGTTAACATGGTCATTGAGAATAAAGACTACACTCCTAGCTTTCTGTGCAAGTAACTGTGGTCATATAACTAAGTTCTAAATTTAAGTGAAAATGGCATCAGCAACTTCCAGAAAGTGTCCTTAAAGGGAAGACCATTTACTTCTACTCCTCTCTCCTACTTTCTCTGGCCTGCTGGCTGGAATGTGGACATGATGGCTGGAACTGGAGCAGCCATCTTAGGCCAAGAGGGGTGATGCTGGGAATGGAAGCTACACATGTCAGAGCAACAAGACAGAAGGAGCCTGGGTACCTGGCAGCTATGGACTAGCTACAGATTTTGAATGCAGAGCAGATTATTAAATCGTTATTTTTTTGCTGTTATTTCTGGTGGTTAACAGCCAACTAATACACCATTAGTATGATAATTATAACAGAAGCTTGTCTACCTTCAGCTCTATCTATCCATCCATCCATCCTGATATCTGACTCTAAAGTAGAAATGGAACACATAATAAATTTCATGTTGGTAATATAATGCTCATCTAGTGCAAAAATAATATTTGCCAAGTGAAAATTCAAGTATTTACTAACAGACACATTAAAAAAATAATCACTATACTCAATTAGTTTCAACATTAATAAAAAGACATAAAATTCATTCTTCAGACATCAGCATATTGATTTCCATCTTTAGAATAACTTTACTAATATTTTAACTTACTTCTTTTGAAGGATTCATTGGTAATGTAAAGATAGTTTTCCAATATGACCAGACAAACATTGCAAAAAGTAGATGATAAGCAATCAGGCACACAACTAAAATGAGAGAAACATAATTAGCATTGTAATATGCAAATATGTACTAAAATCATGGTATTCACAAAAGATCTACTTGTTCTAAAATAACAAAATTACCAATTATAATAAATACACTTTATATTGATTTTTACTATTGTAAATAAGTTCATTTATATCATACTGGAATAAGCACAACTCAAATAAGAAATTTTTATACCTAAAGCCAAGAGTTAAAAAAAATCCCTAATACTATATAATTATAAATCCCTAATAATGCATTATTCTACACATAATCTACACCCATGATTAGAACCCTCCCATCTAGGGGCCGGCCCCATGGCTTAGCAGTTAACTGCGCATGCTCGGCTACTGGCGGCCGGATTCGGATCCCCGGGGGCGCACCTACGCACCACTTCTCCGGCCATGCTGAGGCCGCGTCCCACACACAGCAACTAGAAGGATGTGCAACTATGACATACAACTACCTACTGGGGCTTTGGGGGAAAAAAAGGAGGAGGATTGGCAAAAGATGTTAGCTCAGAGCCGGTCTTCCTCAGCAAAAAGAGGAGGATTGGCACGGATGTTAGTTCAGGGCTGATCTTCCTCACAAAACAAAACAAAACAAAAGAACCCTCCCATCTGTAGACAGGCCCACCCACTGGCAAAATGGCTAACAGAGACCTTTCCTAAATTGTAAAAACAAGGCAATTATGCCTGCAACCTTAAATAATAAACACAGCATTAAACAAATGTTACAACATTCAGGCTTTAAGAACTTTGCTTTACTGAAAAAGAATAGCAACAGCAGTTCCTACTTGTTTGCTTATTTGCTTAGCTCTAGTCAAATCTAGCACCCCTAACTGTTTTAATGACAACACACTTAGACACCATCTGGACAAAGAGAGATTTCCTCCAACAGGAGTTCAAGTGTCTTATTAATCTCACGAGACAACTGTTAAGAAAAGCATTCTGAATACTTTTTTCACGTAATTTATATAAACACACTCCCCGTTGCGTTTTAGTCTTGAAGTACTATGCAAATATACAATATCAATTTTGTATACAGTGATAATGATTAATTCCAGATAATAAATTAATATATAACAATTCTGTAAGACACAGTTGAATAAAACATGCTAATTTATTAGCTTGTTTGGTATCTTACAACTTTAATAGCAATTTTAAACTTTTTTAAAGAATGCTGATACTCATATTTATAGAATCATCAAAAATTAAATTACTCAATGAGACACTTAAATCGGTGTGATATAACAAGAGCAATGATATGTTTCATGAATTATGTAGGTGACTTAGGTATGAGGTAATATTCCGAGTTGAAACAGGAGACTGTTGATATTCCCGGATCTCAAAGCCCCAAGGATCTCTGGCACAATGACTGCCATTTTAGGGTAGAGTTCTCTGCCAAGTGTCTGACAGAATTCAGTCTGGGGACTAACAGAATGAGATGTCTTTAACCCCATCTTGTCTCCACATCCTCAGGGTATAATTTATTAGTTCCAACCAAATCTAAATGAATACTATTTGTTTTCTGAACTATTTTAAAAATTTTATATCTAAAATAATAATATAATATATCTTACCTTGTTCTCCAATGTCTTCCATGGACACTATAGAAATAAATAGAAAAAAGAGATAGGTAATAGGTTATATGAAGCTTATGGCAAACATAGGGCCTGACAGAGACTTAGAGCACTTGAGTAGTTTAATCATTTGGCTCCCCTTCAAACCAACATTCTTTAAATATTTGTTCAACTTTATTTAGAGGAGAGGTGAGCACTGTGGGAGAGAGGGTGGCGAAGGGAGACTGGTGGCTGTATTCAGCCAGGACTCTAATGGCATTGTACCCCTGGCTCCCACGCAGAAAACAAAGCCCATCAAGCATGCCCCTTGGCGGTCTTACTCCTGTATCAACTGGCTTCTTGGTTTTCCTTTCAACTACAGAGCTCAGATAAAAGCAACGTTCTCCAGGTCATTACATTTCCAGAGACACTTATTGGTCTTCATAAGCTGGCAACCACCTAGCTGGCTCTCCAGACAGAAAAAAATGTTGTGTCCATGGCACACATCCTTCTTTTCAAATTTCTATAAGTACCAATTCTTATGCCCAATGAGTAATTGCTCCCTACTGTACAATGTGCCTGAGAAATTGCCATCCCTTAGGGGCTGTTGTAAATGTCCCCAGGTGGCAGGTAGACTAGAACAGACACCACAGAGCTAAAACAAGCTGGGACAAGAAACTGTATTTAGTAGTCCAGGCACAGTTTTCTTACCTTTTGTATTGTTTACTTGTTTTGTTTCCCATTTGGTCTTCCTCCATTTGTACTAAAGCCTTTTGGAAATTTTGGCCTACCTCAGCTGTAGCAAGGGAAGATTTGATTTTATTTATGTATTTTTGTTCCTATTTGGCTTTTTAAAGAGGTACAGTATTCCAGGCCTTAGCCCTGGAATATAATTCCATTGCCTTAAGAGGCATTGGAGTCAGAGGGTAATGTTGTGAGAGATTTTTAGGATTACCTGATCCAATAACCTCCTTCCCAGGAGAGCTAATGAATGTCAGTTCAGGCATTTCTAGAGCCTGAAGGAGCCCAGTTTTGGAGAGCAGCCCATTCCATTACTGGATTGCTCTAAGAATGATTAAAAGATATAGTGTGTTGAAATCGGCCTCTTTGTAGCTTCTACCTAGGGTATCTAGGCTTCCGATCTATAAAAATAATAGAAAATCTAAATGACAGACCCTCACATATTTAAAGTTATTGTGTCCCCCTTAAATGTTCTCTTTTAGCCCAAATAATATATGATTTCCAGATCTCTTACCAACCTTGATGTGGCTCCTTTAAATGTTTCCTGGGTTTTCAATTTCTTTCAACATTTCTGACCCCAGAATGACACGGATGATCTTTTACTCACAAAAGGCCTGTTCCACAAGTGTGCTTGTAAATCAGAGGCTAGAGCATCAGAGTTTGCTTTCTCCTAGAATCTCTGAAGTGGTTAATCTGAGGGCACAGGAAGGACCCTAGGCAAGCTTGTGTTTTATATCTGACCCTACTGCTCCCATTTTATGTATTTCTCTCTAGCCACTGACTTCCCTGTCTTCAAAAGTGCTCCAAAATTGACTATGTACAATTCTTCCTTGGATAAAATGTCCAGTCCTTCAGCTAATCTAAGAAAATGGAAAAGCAATTTACTCCACTTGTGCGTTTATATATAAATGACCCTTACTGACCATTCCAGAAGTGCTGGTGTTTTAAAGAAAATGTATTTGCTAACCCATGACTCTAGCTGTCAGAACTGAAAACAGTAAAACAAAATGACATTGAAAACAGAAAAAGTACAGTTAGCATAGTTGATAATCTTCTTGACCTGGACCACATAATGGCTGGATATGCATTCAAAGATATCTTTTTTAAAGCTATTTTTGCCCTTCAAAGTCTGTTTTCCCCTAAATGTACTTCAAAATCCACAGATCCTCTAGTTTTTTCAATTAAACAGGTTGCACATGGATGCATGCTTAAGGTAAATAATTCCAATAACATTCATAGAGTAAAATATGAAAGTCCAAAAAGGCTGTATCAATTACACTCCCACAAAGACTATGAGCCTATCCAATCTCCCATAAATGTAAAACAAGTCTTTAATTTTTGTCATCATTTTAGCCCAAAATAAAAATCACTGTTTTAGTATTCATTTCCCTGACTACTAGTGAGGTTTAGCATTATTTTAAAAATATAATGATAGGTTTTTCCTCTCTCTTCTGAGTGAATTACCACTTTCCTATTGTCTACTTCTTCTTTACTTATTGAGAGCCTTTTATATCCGTATCTGTTACACGTTACATAGTAATCTGTATCTGTTACATATGTTGCAAATAAAGCTGTACGACTATTTTCAAACTATTTAATAAACACTAGCAAAATATTACGACATCACTGATTAAATAACAGTATCAAAACTTTCAAATTAACCTATTTCACTAACAGATATATGGACTTTTCTAGGTTTTGCTTTATAATATTGAGGAAATTAATGTTCTCCTACCATATTTACCTAATTAGTGGGTCTAAGACTCACCTTGTAATTTTCAGTTTAGTGGAAGAGTTGTCAATTTCAACATTTCCTTTCTTATTATAAAAACACATTGAATACAAGCTTATTTTCAAATGCAAACATTTTATAAATGTTTAAGAAAAGGTTGCTATTTAGCCACATATACATTTCTAATATATATATACATAAAGATAACATATGGAAAATACAGATTCATTTTTGGAAAAATATAGATGGTAAGTCAAATGTAATTTGATTATTTATATCAGCAAGAGAATTAAATAGCAATACTGAACATATTTATGACGGATCTTCCAAAAATAACTATTGGGTTTTAATGTGAATTTTGAGTTTTATCCAGTATTATTTAATTTTATTATTTCACAGAATTTTTCAATTTGGTCTATTTAAAATTATGCTGATACTTATTCTCCAACTGTACACATACAGAAATTTCAAATGTTTCATACCCATCTTTATCACATTTTCTTAAAACCAGCTAAACCGGGTAAATTAATATAGGTATTTCTATTTTTTATTAAAAGACAGTGGAGACAAATGAGCTTTACTCAAAGTCACAGTGAGTAGTATATTAATTTATTCTATCCCAGAAATTCTTTTCTTTTCAATTTTAAAGTTTCATTCATGTGACCAAATGTTATGACTTTGGGCTCGCCTGGATCATATTAAAATTAGTTCCTCATTAAAGAACAATAACTGGCATAGAGCCTCTGCCCCATAAATGTTGACTGAATAAAAAAGTGATTTAGACAAATAGAAGAAAACACAATTAATTTGAATCACTTGAAAGTGGAATACCAAAGCAGACCCACAAGAAATGTTAATTCTTTCTTTTGTGGGCTTTAACAACTCAAGAAAGAAGTTATTTCTTTTACATGACAGCTTGGCACACTGTAGAAACTCAGCTAGTAATTTACAAAACCAACAGTAATCTTATCTGTACTCCCCCGCTAGTATGTATATTTCTCCAGAAGCCAAGACAATATCTGTACCTCATACGTAAAGGAGAGCGGGCAGAAGACGAAGTGGCTCATGGTCCTTTAAAACGGAAAAGGTTGAAGGACATGCTGGCTTCGACTGAGCTTCAAGCAACTTTGAAGACAGAAGGTTTTATAAGTTTGTAGGGTTTTTCCCTCCTCGTTTTGGTTCTTTCTTAGTATTTTACTTGCTTATAGTTCAATTTGTCAAAATGAAAAAGATCTTACTAAGCCTAACAGTACTCAAGAGAAAACACTCTGGATCAAGACAGGCAAAGCTCAATCCTATCTCTGCCACTTGCGAGCTCACACAAGTTATTCTGCTTATTCCATCACAAAATGAATGCAACAATGACAACAGCTGTATCATTAGAGCTGCTGTGAGAATTAAAAGAGGTAATATACGAAATGTACTTAACATAGTGTCTGGCACACAGTGAGCCTCCCAAATATAAAAACAATTATGATATATAATGTTTAATTTTGCTAATACTAACTGTACTATACAACATACAAGAAAGGGGACTAAACATGAAGAAAAATTACAAAGAGAAAAGTAATTTTTTTTGTACAGGCTAAATCCAAAATTTTGAATGAAAATGGACTTTACAAGTGAAAATAAAAAGTGAAAAATAACTTATATCTCAATATTTTGCCTTTTATACAGATGTGTTATTCCAGAAGCTTGCTTAGTATAAACAAAAATGGTGGTACTCATCCTTAACACAGAGTAATAATGAGACATAAAAACTTCATTCTTGATGTGGCAGTCCATGCGAGAACCTCTCTTAAAGTGAAAAGATCTATTAGATGTGACATTATCTGTTTAACTTAGTGAATAAAAGATTAGGACTTTAGAAAAAAATTCCTAAATCTTATATACATCCCAAATAAGTTAGATGCAATTGACTCTTGGGAATAAGAGCAGTGCTGTTATTACAATAAAACATTTACCATTTGTACGTCTGGTGACCATCTAATTACATACGATAGTAATACTGGGTCACAATTTTAATTTTCATCTCAAAAATTTATTGCCTAACTTTATCTTGGATTAGCCTAATTTCTTTCTGATCCATGGTCTATAATGATAATATTTTGCTTTAGAGATTTCTAACTTTCCAATATTCCTCCAGAGCTTAAAATTCTTCCCTGATTAATTGTGGTACAGCTAGGCGACAAGGACTCTGATTTCTTGGAAGATCCTAAAGAATCACAGCACTTTCTTGGCACTGATGGTGTAGAGAAGAGAGAATGTGGGAATGGTAAATTATTACCAGAGTTACCAAGGGTGTTCCTGTTTTGCCAAGAGCAAAATGAAGGCCTTTAAGGATTACATCTTGGAATCTGGAACCGTCACAGACACTGCAAGGCTGGTAGTTTGGGTTGCCAGTTCTGTTTTCTGGCTACCCTTCTGCCTAACCCCCTCCTCCCTCATTAATCATTCCTCTAAGAGGCAGAGTGGGGTGTTAGAGAAAAGGCAGGCTGGTCAGTCATTAGTTTAGATTTGATAAGAGCGCTACTTTTTGTTGTAGTAGTACCTTTAAGAAATTCTTGTGTAAAAATAAAACA